ACATCAAAAAAAAAAAAATTTTTATTCCCCCCCCCCCCCCCCCCCCCCCCCCCCAACCTTTTTTTTTCGTCGTGGCCCCCTCGCCGTTCAGCCGGCAAGTGCTCTATCCGGATGAAGATCACGGACGACAAGACGACCATGGAGCGCCGCAGGTTCCGCATCAAGGTTGAGGCGGTTGGCAGGGCTGACATCGAGGCCGCCCTCACGGACAAGCTGACGGTCATGTGAGATATATTTACATGCACACGTGCAGGGAGGGAGGGACGGGGATAGACCCAGGGGCAGACAGACAGGAATCGGGCGCGGTGGGTGGGTGGGTAGAAACCTGAACGAAATGGCGGCATTCATGTGTACATCGGAACAGTCGTGCCCTGTGTCGAGACGGGTGCGTAGGTGCGTATAAGTGACTCCCCCCCCCCGTCCCTGCCCTCTGCTTGTTTGTACAGCCGTAACCGCCTCGAGATTCTGGAAAACCCAGGCAACCCGGTCCCGGACCAGTGGTACAAGGACGAAGGGGGGCGCGAGAACTGCGTCGAGCTGCAGGCAAGGAGTGAATTGTGTTTTGCATGTGTCATGGTTGTACATGCTTTCTTTCCCCTGGTTGGTGGGTTGTTGGCGAAACACAGCGAAACGCCTGCACAAACGAAACGGCATGTTTGGAGTAGGGGGGAAACGATAAAGCCAGTCTTTGTGAGGGCATCACACCTCTGCTGCTGCTTTGTTGCTGGTCGGAGGCTGTCGTTTCGATGGAAACTTCTTTGGACGTCAAGGAGGCAGAAGCCCAACCAACCAACAATCTCCCGAACAAACCAATCACCCAACAGGTACACCTGCTCGGGCCGTCCGGCGAGGAGGTGAAGAGCCGCCGGGTGCCCCTGAGGCTGGTGCTCATGTACGACAACATGCACCGGGTGCAGAACCAGGAGATCCTCAAGCTCTCTCCGGACAGCAAGCTGGTCATCGACGAGCACGGCAAGGCTACCCTCCGCGTCCGCATCGAGGAGGTTTCCAAGAACCCCCAGAAGCGGGGGAGTCAAGGGGGGGGAGGGAGGGGGGTGGGGGGGTGGGGGGCGTACTCTTTATGTTTTGCATGCCTTAGCGGTTAGACCATTGACCACGCGTCCTCGAGAGGGGGAGGGGGGGGGGGTACTCATGAAGACCGTAGTCGTTGGACCGTTGACCTCGCATCCCTACAAAGCCGGGACGGAGCGATATGCCGGGTTGTCGCCGACCTAGGCTGTGTACGTTTCACAAGGATGATCCAGAAGCTGCTATTTGTGTCATCATCCTCGCGTTTGCTGTCGCCCCCCAAAAATGAGGAGCGTCGGAACTGGCGTGCCCGAGACAGTTCTGTTGACCCCTGGCGATTGTCAAGGCGAAAATAAGAACACATGAACAGCTAACCCACCAGCACGTATCGTGTGGACGGCCTGACGTTCCCACGACATGTTGTTTTTCGTCATGCCGTTTATTCTGGACGTTGGTCCCTACACCCATTCTGGACGCACCAGCAGAACACAGGATTTACGTTATGTTTGTAAAACTGAACACAACTCCAAACACCGCGCGCGCTCCCGCAGGCGTTCCGCATCAAGGTCGAGCCGGACGTGCAAGAGCAGCCGCTGTCCATGGACATCAGCTCGGTGGTGAGCAAGCCCATCACGGTCTTGTCGAAGCGGATCAACAAGCCAGGGACGAGGGCGAAGCGGTCACCGGGGGGAGGCGCCGGGAGCAAGCGCGGCGCGGGTGAGAGAGAAGAGGCATTCCTAAACCATTGCTGTTGTTGTTGTCTTCACATTAATCACCGTACCGTTCGATACTCATTTGTACTGACCCGGGCGCCTTCGGTGGCCACAGACGAAACTGCCCACAACAGGGTACACACTGCTGGAAATCAAATGAAGCATGCCTTTTTTTTTTTTGTCGTTTTTTTTTTCTTCCTTTTGTGATGTTGTTGTTTGAGTATTTTCTTGCGCGTCTGGGTGGGTATTGATATATCTACCTGGCGCACCAAGGTTGGCGAACGACATGTGTGTGGTGTTGCCGGTGCTCGCGCAGATACATTGTTGTTGTGTAGGTCCTAGGCCCGTGATGTGTATACGGTACGGAACTTGCTATTTGGCCCCCGCTATTAGTTTCCGTGACGACGAGTACCGTATGTTGTAACGCGTTTCTTGCTCTCTGGTGCTGGTGCTGGTGCTGGTGCTGCTTCGCGCCGCACAGCCGCCGACCCCGGCTACGTGGCGAGCATCAGCCGCGCCGACCAGTCTTCCCTGGAGCGGAGGGTGAACTTCAGCGAGCTCATCAGCCCGAGCACGGGCCCCGTGGACACGACCAACGTTTCTTTGTACGAGGCGCTCAAGAGCGTCATCGAGTGGACCGGCCAGGTAGACTTGAATGATTATCAGACCGCTTCGTCCTCGTGGGCGTGATGTGCGTCATGCGTGTGTCCGTTGGTGCGAGTGTGGCTTCCGTAAAGGAATCACAGACAGTGGCGAACAGGCGGACGAAGCGTGTGTGTGTGTGTTGTGTGTTGTTCTTTGGTACGTATCGTCCATTTTTTGGAACTCACCGTATTTTGTTTACCAAGGGCAGGGCAAGGAAAGGGGTGCGAGACACACATGGTGATACGCGCTCGCTTGTTGTCTTGCTTGGGGCGGCGGCGGTGGTTGTATTTGTTTTGCGCCCCCCCCCGCCTAGTTTTGTTGTGTTAAAATGGTGAAGCATCCTCGAGGCAGTTACACAGTGCTTATAACTGTCTCTGGAAGTGAACGCACCAGAAAATAAATTAAGTCATACGCAGCTGTCATCCGTACGCAAGGAAGTAAGCACAAGATGCCAACACCCTTAGCAGGATGCAGCGCACCGTTCATGCGACTCGCCGAATACCTCACGGCGCTTCGCGCTTGGTTATGTGAGAGCCTGGTCCGGTGAGAACCCGGCGTGCTCCGTCCCGGCTTTGTTGGGATGTGAGGTCAATGGTCTAACGACTGCGGCATGCACGACTATGAGTACCCCCCCCCCCCCCCCCCCCCCCCCCTTGTTCAC